GAAGGGCCATGGGCTGGTGAGGTACTTGAGGTCGGCGGCAGGCTGATGGTGAATATTGGCGTGCTTTTGGCACTTCTCGCACTTCCTGATTAGCCCGACTTCGTCTGCTTTCATTCTTGGCCAATAGTACCCCTGTTGTAGTGCCTTCTGAGCGACGGCCCTGCCCCCCAAGTGTCCGCCACATAGGCCTTCATGAATGTCACGGACTACAAGCTCAGCTTCGGGAGGTTGCAATCAACGCAGGTAGGGGAGCGTGTAGGATCTTCGGTACAATCGTCCGTCTATCATGACGTACTTGGCTGCATGGCGCTCTACTCTCCTAGCGGCATTGCGTTCTGCGGGGAGAGTTCCATGTAGCAGGAAGCTCACGAGTGGATCAATCCAACTCGGTTCTGCTTGGGCGACAGGAGCGACCTCTTCTGCCCCCCAGAGAATGCTAGGCCGAGGTAACTCCTCTATGTACACCGTTCTCATGGTGTTGTCACTGGTGTTGGCTAGCCGGGATAGGGTGTCGGCCTCAGTGTTCTCTAACCTCGGGATTTGCTTGATGAAGTGGGACTGGAAGTTAAGTAGTGCTTCTTTTGATGGTGTGCAATCCGGTCGGTCCTAGCTGCTAGTTACTTCGCTTCTAACGAGATCGGAGGTGCTTGAAACAAGGAAGAAAATGGAGACCTCCGGGGAGGAACCCGGTTGGAACACTCCGAAGCTCAAGTTAGTGCTCTTCAGAAGGCAAGGGAAGTGAGAAAATTCCAAGACTAGAAAGCACAAAATATCACATACCTTCTTCCCCATGAGATGGGGGCCTTTGTAGTCACCTTGTATACTTACTTCCGAACCCCTGTCAGTTCAGGTATCATCACCTCTACCAGATCGGGTCACTTCTTCTGCCAGATTGGGGGTCATTTCGGGTGTCAACCTCCACTGCCAGTCGCCAGTTGCCAGTTCGGGTGTCATAACCTCCACTGTTCCTTGTCAGGGCCGTCCTTGCCACATCTGAGATGGCGATGGCAGGTGGCCGTTGGGGGGCGGTTGTCATGTGTCGGACCCCTAATCAGTCAGGTGCACCGCCTCCGTGTACGGGCTTTCTGGGTGTCAGGTACGGTTCAGTTAGGCGACTTGGTGCCGAAGTGGTGTGCGAGGTGGTCTTGAGTTCGAATAGAAGTATGGCCCGAACTGCCCTTGGGTGGGCAGTTCGGGTCTTTGCCTTTTGTGCTTTTTGTAAGGCTTAGGACCTTGAAGGGAGAGTTCGGGGCTCTTCAGCTCAGAGCTCGGGTTGTAGGTTCCCCTTTGGGGGAGCTGACCTTTTGCTAGGAGCTTGGGTTGTGGGGCCCGCTGTCGTGTCGAGCTGGCGTTTCTACCAGGTCACTCTCGGTTGCTTCCACGTGTCGTATGGCCAAGGGGTCGGGTCAAATCTTCCTCCATCAGCTTTTAATTAATAATAGCTAATTAATTAAAAGCATTCTAACTTTTAATTAATAATAATAGTCAATTAATTAAAACCATTAGATTTTGGGGCCATTTTAATTTTTAATTAATAACACTTATTAATTATAAATGATTTATTAGTTGTTGATCAATGTTTGTCATTTATGTAGAATTAGGGCCCAACCAAACCAAACCGAACCAAATTTGGTTAGGATCGGTTCGATTCAATTAGAGAAAATGATCAAACCGAATAGTCGATTAGATCCTTGGTTTTAACCAAACTGACCGAGTATACACCCCTACAGCTAGGCTTGGAAGTCGATTATACACCCCTACAGCTAGGCTTGGAAGTATTTGGGCCCAAAGCACAATTAAGGCGCAGAAGTATCCTGGATCAGCTAGGCTTCTTTCTTTCTTTTTCTTTCCTTTTAATTGTAGGCCTCTAGTTTACAAGCAAAATCATGCACCTTGTTACATTGGGCTTTCAGTTAAGCCCAAGAACTTCCCATCTAGTAGGATCTTAGAGTTTATTGGGCCGGCAGAGCCCATGTGCACCGACACACCGCATCTTAAATTCTTAATCCGTGATTATATTCTCAATTCCACCAAAAATGGCATCTGAATCGGATGCATCATACGGGATTCAAAGCATGATAATGGTGGGTGGGAGTGTGCGACTGAATTTTTTTTCTTAGCAGAGCCAAAAACCATCCAAAGCAAACCATATTTTTCGAGTCAGCAGTGTCTCTGTGAGATCTACCTCGTTTTTTCTTCAAAAAAGTTCTACTTCTACCTCGTTTCCCTTTCCTCTTCATTTCTCGTGTCCTTCCTTTGTTGAGTAAGCAAGCATGTCTTTGTATCATTCTTTCGTTTCCGGTGGCGGTGGTAACCTGTTAACTTTCTCCTTTTCATTTCTACCAAACCGTTTTGACTGGTTATCATTCTAATCGTTTGTGTTTCTTTACTTGTTCAAACGCTGCGCGTGCATCTGCGCTATGTGGATCTGGTGAGCTTGTGTTTCACATTCCGGAAAAGCAATTCGAGTTCCTTCTCAAAGGTGAATACGTTCAGACCTTGAATAGTTCTTTGCTTTCTCGGTGGTTTCCTGCAAAAAATATAAATCGAGTTTTCTATGTTCTTGTATTCGAGTTTTCTGCACACAATTGACACTTCCATGCCAATTCGATCAACACATCCTCCTGCTCTTCTAAATGCACCCTGAACCTGAATTACTGATGATTTCTTGCTTAGTCTCTTCTCTTTCTTTTACTTTGGGCTTCCGGGGTTTGAAGTTTGAACTATTGTCCTCACTGATTTGTCTTCAATTGCATTGGCATAGCTCTTAAGGTCAGACACTGTTACACAAGAGACACTGCCTTGGAGACCCCCACAACCAATAATATTGACAAAATTTTCGCCCAGTTGAGACTTGAGAGAACAAAGTTCCCAATTGTTCTGGTGCTCATATCTCTAAATATATAAATATATATATTGAACTAATTATCTGCAGGAATCATCAAGTAAATCTGCTCTGCTGATGGCCCAAAATAGCGAAGAACAGTCCTTGCTGGTGGGGTTATTAGACCCTTCCTCTCAACCCAATCAGAACAACACCACAAAGAAAAGAAGGTACAGCCGCTGCAAAAGTGCTCCTATAGCAGAATTTACTCTTCCAAAGAAAGATGGGAGAGGCATACTTCCACGTTCTGAATCCATCTTTGGCAAATTCCATCCCAGTTTCATGAAAGTAGTTATCTTCTTGTCTCTCTACCTAGGCGTAGGTACCCTCTGCTTTGTCCTTGCTAAGAATCAGATCAAAGGTGAGAAAACAAACGGGATTCTTGATGCTGTGTATTTCTGTGTGGTGACAATGACCACTGTTGGATATGGAGACCTTGTGCCTAATAGCACTCTCACAAAATTACTTGCTTGTGCTTTTGTTTTCATGGGAATGGCTCTTGTTGGGCTAATTCTTAGTAATGCAGCAGATTATCTCGTAGAAAAGCAAGAAGTAGCCTTGGTTAAAGCCCTAAATATGTATAACAATGTTGGGGAATTTGATATTCTCAAGGAGATTGAGACCAACAAAATAAAATACAAGTTTCTTCTGAACTTGAGCCTGCTTTTGCTGTTAATTATGGCTGGAACAATCTTCTTAACTAGAGTTGAGAATTTGGATATTGTTGATGCCTTCTACTGCGTTTGTTCCACTATAACAACTTTAGGGTATGGGGATAAGAGCTTCTCAACTGAAATGGGCCGTATCTTTGCTGTCTTTTGGATACTCACCAGTACTATTTGTGTAGCTCAGTTCTTTCTCTACCTTGCTGAGCTCTACACTGAGCATAGACAAAACTTGCTTGTAAAATGGGTTCTCACTAGGAAGCTGACACTGGTAGATCTTGAGGCAGCAGACCTTGATGATAATGGTGCAGTTGGGTATGTCTTAATTTTTTTCCAAATTGAATATCAAAATGCTAAGACTGAAAGAAAAAATCATTCTTTTTTAAGACATTTGTGTGAGCTTTGCTATCCCAAGACCTTGTTTCGCCATTATTTTCTCTAGATTTGTTGATGGATCCTATAGACAGTTTAGTTTTTCTCTAACAATTGTTTTGTTTGGTTTAATTCTCAACAGTTCTACTGAATTTGTCATATACAAACTCAAAGAGATGGGAAAGATCAGTGAAGAAGATATTGCGCTTATAATGAGGGAGTTTGAAAATCTTGATGTTGATCAGTCGGGGACATTGTCAGCATCCGATTTATTGCTTCCACAATCATCTCAAGCAGAGAAATGACACTGTTCCTTTCTTTCCCTTAGCAAACAGAAAACCAAGTAATACCATGTTGGGGTTGTTGGCTGCTACCTTCTTGAAATCTTTGTAGAAATATTTCACGGCCTTGTATAACCAATCCAATCTTAACCCAAGTGAAGGAGTTACTTGAGAATAGTTATTTGCTTATCTCTTCTGATCAGGATTTTCTTTAGCACATTAGAAATTTACAGTGGGAAGAGCATTCACTTTCATTACATCATGGAGTATCAAGTTTCTATCTTTATTTTCTAGCTAGACAAGCTACTTGGCCCTTTATACACCGAGGGTGATCTTCCTTCGTATTATCCATCTTCTATAATAAAGTAAGCTTATAATTTATTACAGTTGCCTTGTTGTTGGGTGGTCATTAAATTATCCCCTTGACATGTTAGTTGAAATAGCAGTCAATCCTTGGTCCATTCTATTGCGTGAGATTGAAGGGGAGGATTCCCGCGCTTGCCAAGTCACCGTAAATTGTAAATTCTGTTTTCTAATGAGAAATTATTAGTTTTATCTGTTGAGCAATGTCATATCCTTTTATATTTTGAATCCCACTTTATTTACAGAATTAGCTATTTGTGTTCACTGCGTTGAAATTGAAAAAATGAAATTACGATTTTCCCCCAAACTTCAATGTAACATTATCCAAATTGACTGCACTTCGCATGCTACAGAAACTACAATTATTTCTAATTCAACAGAAAGAAACTGTATGTTGTTAGATGTAGCCTCCACCTTGAATTTTTGATGGTATGTACTTCTCTGCCAAGAATGAAATTGAAGAGGCTGACAATGCTTCAATCTCAAACTTCACTCCTCTTTGCATCATCATCTCTAGCTCTGATCTGCCATGAAATGATACTACTTTGGATTGTAGGGATCATCAATTTAATCACGAGTGACAGAAAAAAATTACCAGGTAGAGGAAAAACAATAAAAATAAAATAAAACAAGCATCAGCATCAACCTCCATTTTGGTGCTTCTCTTTGCAGGTAGCATCTCAGTAACATGGCTTCTGCTTTCTTCATATCTGGGATGGATAGAAAGAAACTTGAGGATGATGTTGGAATAAAGAATTTACTAAGATGGATGAGTCTTACTGAAAGGAAACTTGTAATAAACATGTCACCTCCTGCTGTTAAAGGAAGGAGGCACCTTTCTGGAAGGCCATATTTCTTAGAATCTGATGGAAAAGCTCCCAGCCAGCGTATCTCAGGTACTCGTAGAAATTTTGCATCATATGCCATTTGCTTCGAAGTAGGCAGTTTAATAACTTGATATGTAAGTATTATAACAAAAATAAGCATGGCAGATAAGAATCCTTACCATAGAACCGAACCGGTAAGTCGTCAGTATATCAAAACCATAGGGGTCACAATCTACCAAGCAATAGACGGGCAGGCACAAATTTTCAATAAGAAGCCGCAGAAACCTGATTGAAAAGAGTGTATTGGCTTATAACAAACTAAACAGGAATTAGGGAAAAATAATACCCTAATCCATTATGTCGAAAACAGAACAAAAATAATAAGATCAGAGACACCACATGCACATACCTTCTTGTGGGAACATCCGGATAGCCTCTTCCCTGAAATAAACTAAACAGGTGTCATAACGATGCTTTTCAGCTGTAACAGGGAGGTACTGAAGGAGAACGCTTACAGTGATAACGATACAGTTGTTCGTATCGCAAAACCTGTCGTCTGCTAACCGCTGGAACACTGTTTATAGAAATTAGAAGCCCGGGATTTCAACTAATACACCAATTTGAAGAATCCACATAAATCATGTCTCCCATTCTGAAGCAAAGTTTTACCTGCTTCCTTTTCTACGATTAGTATGTACTGGGCAACGCTAACTATCCCTGTAAACAAAATATTAATTGAAAATTCCAACCATTACTTGTCATGCTTGGCATAGATTAAAAAAGTGAAAGATAAAAATAAGTAGGATATATAGCATGTACAAGTATTCTTTCCCCGTCTCACACCTAAATACGACTTTCAGAATTAAATCAACCCAGGAATTGAGTATAAGCAAGAAAGATGTTTTGAACCTAACTAAAAACAAATAGCCGACAACTAATTTCATATAATGCTCTCAAGATCATGAAGATACCTTCAACTTCTTCAACAAATACAGGAACAGGATGAGCCTGCAATTGAACCCAGATTTACAGAACTAAAATACTGGGAGATAGTTATTGATGCTTTCAGAAATATGAATTCTAATTTTACCAATTTGATTTCGTCATGTACCTTACTGGGGCTATTTATGCAATCAAATTTCTTTCCTGCCTCAAAGAATTTTAACCAACCCATCACCAACCTAGGGCATGAGTAAATGGTTGAAAATTACGTTATCAGTTTATGACAAACCTAGATCATATGATATCTTTTGAATACTTGAATAATATAGAAAGGAAAAACCATACCAGATAAAGGGTAAAACACAGTTATACTGCAGCATGTATAAGAAAAGCTAATTCACATTCAAATCCACCCCCTTTAAAAAATTACTGAAGCACACCATATGTCGATCCTCAATGGAAGTGACAATTCAGACACAATTAAAAGGATGAATTACTGAAGCTACTTCAGAGGCTACAGGCACAGAAATAACAAGAACGAAAAGGAAAATATACAAAAAAGTAGGATCTTGTCAATGTCGAACCAAGATTCAAACAAAAGGAAACCAGAATTTCACTGCTTGATTAAATAAAGGTACATAAGGATGTAAACTGAGACTAAATTTGATAATCCCAAAATGACTAAGAAATAACTAGTATCATACTGAGTTGGAAATACCACACTTTTTTACTCTACAAATTGGAGATACGCTGAAATAAGTAATGCATCTCTCTAACTAAATATTTTAAACATGACTACTAGAAAATATTAAAGTTAGTAATTAATACAAGCTAGAATGTTCAGGAAAAGTTACCATCTCCAGTCCTAGAATAATTATCTGAGCATTTTTCTACTGCTTCATTAGATCAAAGGATACCCAATTGAATTTTAGAAAACAATTTGTTATTCTTGTTCCTGGGAATTTGGGACCACATTCATAACAGACTAACAGAGTATGCAAAAGGCTGCCATGTTCCTCTTATTTTCCATGAACCAGAGGTTCTCTTTCTCTGTTTAAGTTGTGACATACCCTTTTCCAACAGCCACCTGTCAAAAGGAGAACATATGGTATCACTGACCCAAAATTAAATATTTCCATTTGAAACTATAACAGGTTTGAAGAACAACCAGTTCACAGCATGAATGATTGAAATTTTCTATTAATATCTTCGTTCAACTTTGTAATTAGTTATTTGTTGCAAGTTTCTTACACGGCTTGCACATCTCAACTGTTTGTGACCTCAGGAGAAGCTATTAAATTCATTTGTAGTAGTATAGCATACCATCAACAGCAAACACATACATACACGTGGACATGCATGCATACATCTACATAAAAGTGGGCTTTCACATTTTATAGCCAAGGGGAAAAAGTATGACGCCAGTAAGATAAACACAAAGCTTGAACCACGTAATCGGGATCCTAAACAATTCCTTAAAGAGTTTAATATCCGAAAAAACCACATGTTGGTCCAGAAGTTCCCATTGGCATGATATTGGTACAGGATCCACATTGAATCTTGTGATTATGCACTTTTTGAGTTCAACAACATGGTTTGGTCTTTTTATTCTTTGAATAACTAATCTGGTTATACCAACTGCAGCTGAGTTTAGCTCCAAAGGAATCTAATGGCTTGGACATGCAAATTAGAAAGATTGTCATTGATGTTGTTAAGAAAGTGTCCAAGTCCCCATGGTCCACTACCAGTTCTACTCCACCTGATTGTATTTGCTGAATCATCCTCAATGGTCAAGGAAGGAGGATGCATTCTCAAGCAACCCTTATACTATGAGAAAAGATGCTGCTTTTTTTTGCAGTGTTAAGCATGATCCTTTCCATATTTTCTTCCATAAATGCTTGAGTTTATTCAATTGTTCCTAACAATGTTCTTCTGTTAAATAATTAGAGATTCTATTAGTGAATGGGATAAACTGTCTTGTTACTCCAGTTTTCCTTTTAGTCATACATCACTTTGTTTTCGACTGATTTAAAATTTAAATTTCAGGATAATAGCACATACCACATTTAAGTTATGGCGACTACATTCTAAAAGGATGCATATGTCGTTGATTGCTCGATCTACAACTGCTTGCTCTGCAAAAGAAAATTATATAGAAAACAAAAAAGAGTGTAAGGAAGCTTACTTCTTTAGGGTTGACCCATGGATATTATTCAACGGTCTGTTTTTCAGTTCCCAAAACTCAATATTAGAAAACGAAAATATAACGTCTTATATACTAGCACTAGTTTTTATTTAAAGAAATGATAGAAAGGAAAAACCATATGCCTTCCACTCTCTGTCGCATTAAAACAAACACAGCCTGGGGAAAAAGAAAAATCCTGCCTACCAAATATAACGTGAATGGAGGAAATAAAAACACGGAAATAAAAATAATTAATGTCATGATACTGAATTTTGTAAATTAAGGGGAACAATACATGTCGTATCTAGCAATAGAAGTGTCTCATAATAATATATGTTTTGGCATACAAAAGAACGAAAAATGTGGGGGGAAAACATTGACTAACCTGAAAATACAGCTGGATGCATGTAATATATGTCTCTCTTCGATCCATGTCTGTTTTCTTGCAGCAGCTGCTGAATAATCAACAACACCCTCAGCAAGACATCTGAGAGAGAAGAAATAGAAAGAATTGAGAAACGATGTTGACACGAAAACATAGCATTGAATCCGTAACTCATGAAATTGTATGCCTCCGTCTCCGGGCCCTGACTATTTCTGGCTGCAGGAGCAAGTTTTTTATGCGACATAGTATGATCTTGCCGCCTTGCCCGGAAACAGAGGAAGGAGGAAGAAATATAGTAAGCTAACCCAGTCTATATGCATGGCACTCCTTTTGAAGTGAGACTATCTCTTTTCCCATGTGTAAATCAGAGCTGCAACAGCTGCAAGAAGCATTGGCTAGATATTTGTTAGAACCATCAACGTTTAAATCATCGTAAAGGCAACGTGTGAAAGCATTTTCACATGATGTTGCCAACATTTTAGGAAAAAATCAGAGGATAATACAGATAAACTTGATGGTATAAGATCAAGGATTCAGGATATTGTAATGTAGAAGTATTCGCGTAAATTTATGAAAAGAAAAAAAAGAAGAAGAAGAAGAAAATCTGGTGACTTCAAGTTTCTACTGCTATTAAGATTTCTCAAGTTTTTACTGCTACTGAATATACACTGAAAGAGGCCAACCATTTTCCAGAAGGATCAGTGCAATAAATTCTGTAGCGATTTAGGGTAACGGAGGGAGATCGTCCTCGGCGGAGATCTTCAAGAAGACATCGAGTGAATTCTGCAAGGGTTTCCGACTTGTTACAGTTGAAATTTCCAAATATCCACTTAAATATTTAGTCAGCAGGTTACTAAATGTAAGAAAACTGTAGTTGCATTATTGCGAAATTTGGGTTGATCTGTTATCACCTTTGATTTTCTTGAGCAGATCGCAGGGATTTGAACTGGAACCTCTTCTGCTCATCTCCTCTCCTGCGTTTGTTCGAATAATCGGAGACGTGGATTTGAGCTCGAAATTTTGAAACACGACACGGACAATGCCATCCATAGCGTCTACTCAAGTGTCATGTGTGTTGGGCTATGCATGTATATTTGCGGGATTGTCAATGGCATTTTTGTAGCGTCTACTCGAGTGTCGTGTGTTGCGCTATGCATGTATTTTTGTAGGGGTATTGTCAATGGCAATTTTGTAATTATTTATATGATTTTTCATATACTTTTTAAAAATCTTAACTTAGGGGAGGTAGGTAGTCGAGTGAATCAAGAGCATGTAAATGTTAAACATGAGATTCCCTCGACACTGAACTGTGTGTTTATACTTGTCATCCATTAATGCAATACAATTTGCCTTTTGTCTAATTCGCGTGCCATGCTTGTTGCCTTTTTTTGTGTTGTTGCTTGTTGCTTAAGCTTACTCGTCGCATTCGAGTGTCGCACGAGGCCTCAACTGCCCCTAATTCAACACAATGAAGAGCAACCGCGACATTGCTGATGACACACTACACGGGCCACACCAAGCCCATGACACCAATAAGGCTCCACTCGACCAGCTAGCTAGCATGGACATGCGCATCCTACGTTGCGAGGCAACAGTATGTGAGACTCGAGATCGGGTCGACGAACTCCATCTCAACACAAAGACTATAGAGAATGTTGTGGTGGAGTTAGAGAGCCGCTTCAATGGAGCCCTCCGAGACGTCCACAACACCTTGCAGCAATCACAAACCAGCTCTTCCCAAAGCAGCCTTCAAGGCATGATGGACAGCTTCCAAGCACAATTGGATGAGATGAGGGCTGAGCTGACAATCATGAAAAGAGCTATGGCCAATTCCACCGGCTCTTCATCCGCTCCATCCACCCACATCAAAGTGCACCAACCAACTCCATACTCCGGTTCTCGTGATGCTCAGGAGCTTGAAAACTTCTTGTGGCAACTTGATTAGTACTTCTCCGCGACTGGCATTCATGATGACCAAACTCAGGTACATACAGTCGCCATGTATTTAAATGATATTGCAATGTTATGGTGGCGTAGATGTTGCTAGGACATTGAACGTGGCACTCGGACCCTCAACACCTGGGTCGATTTCAAGAGAAAGTTCAAGCGACAATTCTTCCCTGAAAATGTTAAGTACTTGGCATGAAGAAAGTTGAAGAACTTGAAGCACCAAAACTCATTGCATGACTATGTCCAAGAGTTCTTAGCCCTGACCCTTGAGATCTCCGACATGTCTAACAAAGACCTTTTGTTCAACTTCATGAATGGTCTCAAACCATGGGTGGAGCTCGAACTACAATGGTGGTGGCCAAGCAACTAGTTGATCTAAGGAAGTTAGAAGAGGAAGACCACCAACCACATAGCCCACGTACCAATAGCTTGAGTGGGGGAGATCAGAAATTAACCTCTACACAGGAGAAACTAGTGCCCACTAACAAGGCCAACAATTACCAATAAGGGAAGAAGCCACAAGGAGCCCAAAGCTATCAGGGCCACCGATTCATGAGGAGACCAACTACTACTCCTACGCCTTGTTACCTTTACAATGGGAATCATTGGACAAGTGTCTGTCCAACACGGAAGAAACTCAATGCCCTCATCGCCAAACTCAGTGACAGTGAAGAGAGTGATGAGGAGAAACCCACAGCGGCGCCCAGAGTAGGCACCCTCCAACTCATCAATGCCATGGTTAAGAAAGAGGCCACATCCAAGCGGCCCACCAAAGTCCACAAGGGGCTGAAATATGTAGACATCACCCTCGACGGGAGGCCGACCCAAGTCTTGGTGGACACTGGGGCCACCCACAACTTCATCTCGCTTGTTGAGGCAAAGCGACTCGGCTTGATCACCACCAAACATACAGGGTGAATCAAGGCTATCAACTCAGGGGCCAAAGCGGTAGAAGGCATGGCTCGTGGAGTAGAGCTCCAAGTTGGGTCATGGAAATGACCCATCAATCTATCTGTAGTACCCTTGGATGATTTTCAAGTTGTCTTGGGAATGGAGTTTCTCGCATAGGCAGAAGTAGCTCTCATGCCACACATAGATAGTCTGCTCATCTTGGAGGAGTGTTCTCCTTGCATGGTTCTAGTGACAACAACCTTGAAGGTACATGGGAAGCAACTTTCGGCCCTACAATACTATTAGGAAACTGATATCAATGAAGCCAGCACTGTGCTTACAAGGAAGACCCCATCTCAATCATCTCACATTAACACTGGGACGAGTTGGGAAGTCATCACTAGGAAGAAGTCTCCCCCAAAGCCGTTCCAGCATCAACACCAACAACGACACCAACGTCAGCGCCACGAGCCGACAACACAGAAGACTCCTGGAATACCCAAGGCTGTCTCCAACCACAACCAGTTCCACTATGACAATCAACGGGGAGAGCGAGTACCACCAAATCCACTTAGGTACCCTATCCGCCACTACATTGATCAAGCCAACCCTCATAGGAGCCTTGTGAGAAGCAACCCTTAGGGGAAAAATCATCAGGGGGAATAATACCCAAAAAATCCAAACCTTCATTTTGACCTAGCATTGGCCACAAACTTTCCTACTACCAAAGCAGAACATCCAAAATCCTACCTTGAAGCAGCCAAGCAATGACTTAACGTAGGGACTAGCTAGCCATAGGTTTTCCCACCATCAAGAACACCCTAAAGACTTTCACCCAACCTCATGCTCGGACCTTGGAAGAGACCAAGTTCGTGGAGTAGCTGAAAAACCCTCCTTCATCAATAGCAGATCTAAGCCTCAAGCAGAAGCTAGTCTTCGAGTGGGCTATGCATGTATTTTTGTATGGGGGGATTGCCAATGGCATTCTTGTAATTATTTAGTATGATTTTTCATTATTTTGATGTATCTTTATGTCACTTCCCCAAAAGTTTAACGTACTCTTTGAGGGAAGGTAGGTAGTCGAGTGAATCAAGAGCATGTAAATGTTAAGCATGAGATCCCCTCGACATTGAACTGTATGCTTATGCTTGCCATCCATTAATGCAATACAACTTGCCTTTTGTCTAATTCATGTGCCATCTTTGTTGCCTTTTCTTGTGTTGTTGCTTGTTGCTTAGGCTTACTCGTTGCATTCAAGTGCCGCACAGGACCCCAACAACTAGCCCCATGACATCCTGGCTTTGTGAGATGATTGAACACGTCGGTATTTTGTATCCACGTGGCCTTATGTTTAAACAAATTAGTTGAAAAATCAGGAATCTTAACTGTCTTTTACACACAAAAAAAAGGCTAATTTCCTTAAACTATCTCTATTGTTTAAGAAATTGACTAACTGTTTACATATTGTTTTAAAGTACCCGTGCTCTTCCTAAAAATTAATATTGTCGTTAAGTGTTAACAAAAAGAAACGAAGTGTCTAATTTTTCCTCCAATATTCCTCAAATTTTAAAATAAAACCCAACTGATGAAACCTTGGGTGGTGACATGACTATCAATGGAACAAGCTCTTTTCTTTTTTAACATCTTCAGTATCCCCCACTAAGTTTCTGAGTTTTCCCACTCCCAAGCGTGAGTACTCCTATTTCGTGAATCCTATCTCCCTCCCAAGGTTTCACCCTTTCGCTTTCAAGCTCAAACTCTGATCCCCATCCTCATCCCTTTGAGACCTACAACAGCATCCTGGCTTGAGTTTTGCTTAGTCATAGACTTCACCGCTGCAACCTAGTGGTAAATAGGGGAAAATCCATGTTTGACATCATTTCTAAAGAAAGGTTCAAATGGTTGTCGTGTGATTTGGAGGATCTTTTATTGTGCTGACTTTTGGAAGTGTTGTGATGGCCTAATTGCCTAAAAGGGATGTGAACAGTTCTCTAGAGCTACAATGATGGGTTGGAAATGGTCGGTATTTGACTTGGATAAACTTCAATTTAATGTAACCTTTTTTTATTACCTGAATGCTCGGTCGAAAGAAGGATGACAACTCGGGGACAACCACCACGGCATTTGCATTGAAGTAGACCATAGTAGGGGGACTTCAACGACCGAAGATGCTATGTTTCACATCAGTTGTAGCGGTGAGCATAGACGATGGGGGTGAACATTGAAAATTGCAATTGGTCAAGGGATTTCCTTGGATGAAATTGAAGTTGTTAACGAAAAGCTAGGTTATTGTAGTTTTCAAACGTATAAGAGGCGACTTGTTTGACATTAATTATGCTTTGCTCGATTTTAGAAAGATAACAGTGATGGAGGGGAAAATATTGTTGGAAAGCTTGAAGGAAGGACAACCAGAATGAGAGGAGATTATTTTGATTCAACAGCGGAAATGAACCAATAGAAGGGGATAGTTGCAGATTGCATATTGTAGCAACGTGAAAAACGAAGAAAACAAGGAAAAGAACTAGGAACGGGAGCTTGCAGTGGTTGGTAGATGTTCTTTGTTTAGGACGATGGTGCGCTGTTTACATTATTGTTTTAGCAGCAGAAGTGGAAGGATGGATTGGAGTGGGGAAAAGGAAGAATGAGAGGAGAAAAAAAGAGGGGCACCACCAAACTGGTTCGATGGTGTTTTGTTCAATATTGATGGTTGATTTGGAGTGTTGGCTGGTGAGAAAGCGAGAGAGGGAGAGATTATGAGAGGAGAGAGAGAGAGAGACAAAGGGGAGAAGTGAAGAAGATGGGGGAGATGGTTCACCACTGCTCCACTTTGTTACTGCCGTGTCAAGGTTGAAGACAATGGACAAAGGAGGTCTGTTGCAGCAGTGGAGATAAGAGCAAGGGAGGGGGTTACAACGAAGAGAAAAAGATGAATAAGATGATGGTGGAGAAAAATAGAGAAAGAGAGAGAAAATGAGAGAGAGAGAGAGAGTGGGATTGAGTTGGACGAAGGTGTAGAGGGTTGCCACCACTAGGCTACTCGGTTAAGAGGAGATAGTTTTGGTAGTTTAAGTAGTTGGAACAGGGGAGAATCCAGCACAGGAAAATCTAAGAAGAATGAGAGGGGGAGAGTTTTGGTATTGTTGTCGCCGCTGGTTTGATTGGAAAAGAAAATGAACAGCGGTGAACAGTGCTTTAGAGGTAGGGGATGATGTATAGTGAAAGCTCGTTCCCCATCATCACACTGGGAAGTCATTGAACCGAGACTTCTGTTGA